TACATATGTAGTCTATCTTTGGTCTTTGAAGTGCCTTTGTGAGTATGTGTGCTAGCTGATCATTAGATCCTACAAAGTATGTAGTAAATCCCTAGATAGAATCTTCTTTCGGATGAAATGAAAATCATTCTCAATATGCTTAGTTTGCTCATAGAAAATTGAATTAGAAGCAATGTGCAAGGCAGCTTGATTCTCATACACAAGACTTGGCCAATCACTGGCCCCATACTTCGGACCTATATAATTATAGTCAAAAGTAAAGGTTATAACCATTAAGAGTATGAGTGAGATGACTGACAGATATCAAATTAAAAAGATAACCAGAAACAAAGAGAACAAAATCAAGTGATAAAGATGGAAGAGGAGTGGCTTGATCAATGCCATTAACTTTGGCATTTGAGCCATGTGCATGAGTAATGTGATGATGAGTTATAGGGTAGGGCAATTGAGAAAAGAAAAGGATTGCTGGCTACATGATTGGAAGCACCAGGGTCCAAAACTCAAGGGTAACAGATGATGATTGAGAGATTGACTATAGAATTAGCACTATGAGCAATCATAGCCATGGATGAGGCTTGATATGTCTTGAACTGCAAAATTTTTCTGTACTCTTTATCAGATAATACATTAGGATTAGTGCTCCTCAACTCAGGCTGTTTTCTGTCATTGGGGGACTGAGTTGCGTTAACTAAATTTTTCTGAAAATCCAATCAGAGAGTAACATTTGTCCCAAGTGTGACCAAAGAGGTTGCAACTCAGGCCCTTATTTGATGACCCTGAATTATTGGATTGAATAGAATATGATTCTGATTGAGAATTCATTGTGTACCCGGACCAAACAGTAACAGCAACCTACTCAGAAACAGAATAAGGTAAGAGCCAAAGGTGCAACACCAAAATCACCAAAAAGTTGTGTTAGATGAGATACCCTGTAACAAAGCTGGGTCAAAACAGATTCAGGATGCCTCAACAAGCAGAAACAAAACCAGAATTGAGGTTGCCCAAATGCTTGGAAAGTGGCGTGCAAATCCCATGCGCTGACAAACTCCTTGGCATAGACAATGTGCGTGACAGCATGCTGGAGATTGGCTGGTGGTGGTGTTTGGTGGAACAACAGATCTGAAAGTGAAGACGTTGATGGAACAGTTGCCAGATCTCCTAGGGCCTCTAGAACAATACTGAACAGTGGGAAAACTAGGTTTTTCTTACTTTTGAATCTGATATAATAAAATCCTAATTTTCTACAATACAAAATATACAGCTGGTATCATGATCACAATTACTCCTTAATCTCAACAGTAATAATATTAGCAAAATCATCAAACTGTAATACTTGGCTACATATCATTATCATGTTTTCTTTAATTTTTATGAATTAGTTTCTATCAGTTCCACATGACCAAATCTTGTTTTTACAGGTAACAAGTGGAGACAGAGATCAACGTGCTAAGGAGGCTTTGGGTACAATGGGTGCTTCGGTGTTCAGGTGATTTTGTGCTAGTGAAAAATTTATTGTTGAATTTCTTGAACTGCAGACATGCATGCATGCAGCAAAGAAGTCGTATTCCTCGTTCTGCTCTTTGGTTAGCTACTAATTCTGTGAAGGAAATAATGGACAATATCTTGACTATTAAGGACCAAATGCCCTGATCCTTAATAAAATCATGCCAGAATTCATTCCCTCCAGTTTGCTTTTCAACATATTTACATGACAAAAGTGCTGTTTTCAAACACCAATTTCACGGCAATTTTGCTGCATCAACATATTATTTTGTCTTAAATTTGTGTATTATCTTTTCTGAATAAGATTCTCTTCTTTATGCGATTTCAGTGGCATCACACTAACAAAGCTGGTTGGAGTTATTGTTCTTTGCTTCTCAAGAACAGAAGTTTTTGTGGTATTAAGAGTTCATCCTTAGTTTATGGCTGGACTCTGATATTATACATATTTGTAACACTTAACCTTCGCATTTTGCAGATTTATTACTTTCAGATGTACTTGTCGTTGGTACTTCTTGGTTTCTTGCATGGACTTGTTTTCTTGCCGGTCAGTTGATGCTTTCTACTTAGTTTATTCTCTTTATTTATGAAAATGCGTATAACTGAGAATACAATGCATGAAAAGCTGCAGCTGAGACTCACTGATGAAATACACTACTTTTTTCTTCTCTTTTTTTTTTTTCGCGTTGGTGGAGTTAAATTTTTCAATATTCACTCAACAGAAAATGTGGAAGTTTGCTGCAAGTTTTTCAGAAGTGTGAATCTAACTGTAACATCAACATTACTCCTATGTGAACTAACCTAGTCTCTGACCAACCATAAATTGATATTGGGGCATCATTCTGGTTTCCATATTTTTTTTCTAAGGATTTAGATCCATCTGAGGGGTGTAGTTTGGGAAGGTTAAGTGATAGTAACTGCTGACGAAAAAACAGAGGGAGTAGATTCCCACATATCCATAATCTGTTATTCAGATGCTTGTATTTTATAAAATTCTAAGCATGGATTTTCTTATATCAACAGTTGCCAATTGTCCTTTACTCTTTGAAGTGCAACGGGTCCTCTAGACCATCTAAATCCTTTTTGTGCGGGCAAATAAGTTGTTTGTTTATACTTGGATATTTTTGTGTCAAATTCGTTTGACGCAGCGAATACACGTTCGAGACACGTTGGTTTGCCATCTATGAACTTTGTTCTTCATACTGAAAATACTCTTTTATGATTTGTTTTCTACCTGCAGGTGATATTAAGCATCTTTGGTCCACCTTCAAGGTGTTCAATCATTGAGCAAGGGGAAGATCGTTCATCAACTTCTTCGTAGGTATAAACTTACAGGCATTGGATGATGGGTCGTCCGCAAGTAGTGCAGAAGCGTCTGTATAGTACAAAATGTTATATAGGCCAAACAGAAGATAGAAAATATGCCAATTTTGACACACCCGTGCCCAAACTCGTGTATTATGTATGACTCTTGTACTCATTTAATAATCTCTTGTCCGTAAGGCTAAGTTAAAGTTTAAGAAAAATAAATTAAAATGATAGTTTTGTGGAAGAAAAATAAATTATATATTATCGTTTAGAAGATGACGGTCAAGATAAATAAATAAAAAATGGTTCAGATGGTGAGGATAATGGAGTAGTAGCATATTAGCATTACAAGTAGCCGTTAGCTCCGAAATCGAGTCGGCTGGGATTAGTACTTAGTAGGCTCTTTGAAATGCCCGGACTGCAGCCAACTGGTTTTTGGTTTTTGCACAAAGATTTTTAAAGGACAAAACTTTATTGACAAAAAAAAAAGAACTTGTATTATTTTATAGGTGTTGATAGTATTGTTTATTAATTAAAATTAATTTTTTAGTTTAATAAAAAACTTGCATTTGATATTACAAATAAATTATAATTTTGAACAGGAAACACTACCAATTATATTTAAGTGACTGAATTTATGATTTATTATTTTTTTAGTTACACCATTTCGTTTTTGTTATATATATTTTGAAAATTAGGTTTTGGAAGGTATTAATCACTTTTGAATATTAAATTAAAAAATTGCTTTCGAAATGAGTTTTATAAGGGAGGTGTAAAAAGAAAAGGCTTAGGTACGTTCATTCATTTTGCAATAGCGATTTTGGAAAATATATTCCATTTTCAGCTATTGTTATACGCACTTGTACAGAAACTCCCTAATAAATACAACCACTTTTTAGGATGGATAGTAAATTATTGTGTTTTTTTTATTTGAGTATCTTAAGCCCGAGATGTTAGAAATTTCTAACAAATATATTTTCTTGGCAGTGTAATTAGTTATTTATTATTTTGAATTATCATTATAATTGAAGTTTCGTAAATAATTTTGAAAAGTATGATTAAATTGTAGTGTAAAAGGTTTTACATTAAAATAAATCAAAATCAAATCCTACATTCAAATAGATTCATTTTTTTTCCATTTAGATTTACGGGTATCCCTCGAGGTCCATAAAATTGTTTCTTCAAACTACAAATTGGATCCTTTGTAGCGATGCTGCCTTTCCCGCAAATCAAATATTCAATAAGTTTTATAAAATGTTGAATATGAATTAAGTACACATAATTTAATGATCATGAGATGAAATTTTGAACTGTAAATATTTTGCTGGAGTGGCCGGACTACTAACACGATTGTGGAAGTCCAGTAAATTGTCAGTCAATCTCAGAGTAGTTGGATATTATAATCGTCACTAAAATTACTGAATGGATAACATTGCCATTTAAAAACTCATTAAACTAGAGTAAATTGCTGAGGTATAAAAGGAGTATTGCTATGTACTCTGGGGCAATGTGACCCAACTTGCAGCAAAATAACATAGGAACGAAATCAAGTGGAGGGACCTACACCCGTGACCTTTAATAGTTTAATTTTGAGTTGACTTCATTCATCGCTACAAATAAAAGGATAAATAATTTATCAATGCACGAAGAAAGTCCTACAAAAGACTTAAAGCAACTCATGGAGTGACTGAAATTATTAGAGTAGAGTGTACCCTAATTGATAAAAATGAGGCTTTAACTTTATAGAGTATCTATCACTAATGAATGTCTTGAAGGTGCTTATTAAAAATACCACATTTAATTTTTATTATTTTTTTTGAAAAGCACATTTAATATATTTAAACTTTCAAGAATATTTTCATTTTATATCCTTGATATTATAAAGTTATTTTCATGATTATTTTAAGAATTAAATATTAAATAATTTATTAATATAACTTTAATATCTTATCAATATTGTTTTTACATTATCAGTCAATTAGAATATATAACAGATACAAAATTTAAAATAATTATTATAAAAATTAATTATTTTTACTAATATGATTATATTATATAAAAATATAAAATATGTTATCCATCAATAAATTTTAAATTAAATTATAATTTATTAATTATTTTTAAAGACAATTAAAAATAAAATTCATATTTTTATAATAATTTATAATTAATTTTATTAAGTATTATATATACCGAACAAACAAAAACTGAATCTTATTGCTTCCAGTATAAGGATAAGTTTATCCTCATACTAAATACCAAAACAATTTTTACACAAAAAAAGAATCATGCCTTTAAACTACAAACTCCTAGTATACCAAAAAAAAAAAAAAGCTACAAACTTCTAGGACTGATTCACATACATGACAAAGGATCTTATAATTTACAATCAAAATGTTATCTAAACTCTAAAGAATTTCTCATAGAATGACTAGAAGGCTGTAGACAGAGTTTGATGGTACCACTCTCAGAAGATTGACAAACATCAATGCACTCCTCTAAATCAGCATCACAAGTGAGTAATACCCACTCACAATCATCATCCAAATATTTGACATCGAATTTGCTCATGTCACTCACATTAAATCTTCTAGCAATTTCCTGCAAAAGATGTTCATAACCCCAATTCTTTGGCATCCGAAACCGGCTTTTCTCATCTCTATACGTGACTTTAACTCTCTGAGCATCCACCTTGCGACTGGTTTCCAATAAGGGCCTCTGATACTGAGTTTTAGATTGTTCACCAAGTGTTTCCTGGCTATGCGATCTTGGCAAGAGCTTTGCTCTCTCTTGACTCAGGCTTTTAAGTTCTGCTTCACTTCTGATCCTCTTCAACACAACATCAGCAGAATCTTCACCAACCATAGGATCTTTGTTACCAACTACGTTAATCGTGTGAGGTTGTAGCTCCGACATGCTGGAGCAGGAATGGCTTGAAATGGAACTCTGACTGCATGAGGAAGAGGGGGATTTCGACGTGCCTTCGGGGCTCAACGAGCCAGGATGTTGCTGTGTGCTCATTGAGTTTGGATTCTCAGTTTGATTCAAAGTTGAGAACAGGTTGGTTCCTGATAAATTTGAAGACGCTAGATCCGGGAAATTGGAATAGAAGGAATCGATTTGAAATGCACCAGAGGCACCTTGAACTGAGTCAATGACAAGTTGAAGTTTCTGTAAGGAATGACCAACCTTTTTGATCTTTCGAGATGGCCAACGTTTTATCCCGTGTTGCCGGCAGATCCTTTTCAAAGTTGTAGTACAAACTGAAAAAATTGAATACAAGAGACGGTTTTTATGAAAAACTTCTAATAGATATGATTATACAAACTAGTAGAAAGCACACTAGCAAATTAATCAAATTTCTCACATTAGTTAAAATGAACTTATTCACAAACTTCTTTAAAAGATTGCTCATCTAATTGATTCATAAGCACCTATAAACTTGACAGAATTTGGCATTTTTTCCTAAAGAAAAGTCTTCATAATAGGTTTTTACAATTGAAAGGTTCCATATGGTAGAAACTAATCCAGATTGTGTGCCTCAATTTAGTGTGTTCGGTAGTAGACACGTTAGAAGAGAACAAAATAGCATATAAGGTTGAATTCTATGTTCGGTTCACTTTTAAAAAAGAACAGTACAAGATGAGGTTGAAAAAGTGGCTCATCTTGGTTCCACTGGAAAGGGTAGAACAAAGAAGAATAGAACAGAACCTTTCAGTTCCATTCTGTTCTATCTGCATGCCAAAGGCTACCCTGGTGTTTGCACATAAAAACAGTAGGAAGCATGCTCTTGAACAAGGCTTAGCTTACCACCAATATTCTTTGCGGCATCTTTTAGACTTCCAGCAAAATATTGTCTAAGAACTTGCAGTGTGATGGTTTTCTCTGCTTTGGCTCGCCTTCTCTCTACCGTTTTACTTATTCCCACACTTGGTAAGCTACCTTCAACAGAAGTAGAACATTCCCTAACACAGTCAAGGTTTCCTTTTAAAATAGGATTTTCTTGTTGCTGCCTTAGGTCAGAGAATTTTCTTCCCATTGTTTCACTTGATTTTTCTTCAGTTTCCAATGAGGCAACCATCCCTTTGGGTTGGAGATGTGACCAAATTGGAGTCCTAGCAAATCCACTATCTGCAAGGGCTATTACTTCATCAACTGACAAGTTAGTTTCCTCCAATTCTTCATCTGTTATAACCCGCAAACTGCCACAAACCCTTTGTATAATGATGGACAATGAAGTAAGCATCTTTCTCTGTTCTTCACTGTCATTGCAATCAACAGGCAAGAAGAACTCTAGAACAAAGTCATCTGTACTATTATAAATGCTTCGAAGGCGTATGGCAACCGCAGCTCGCAATCCAAACAACCTCGCATGATGAGACAGTGGATAGTCTATCTTGCTTAAGGAAGTTATGTCAGCTGAGAAGCATGGTTGATTTGTCATAAAAGCTCTCCCAGCAACACCTTGACCTTTTAACAAGTGATGTTCAGTGCAAGCCTCATGAAAAAACCTGGTAGAGTGATCACCAACATAGCAAGCGTGCTCTACTGGAGATATACAGAGTAGATAATTATCTTCAGTGTGTCTGCACCCCTCTTTGCCTTGTTGGATGCATGAGACCCAAGTTTGAGCCAAAGGTAACTTGTGCATTTCACATGCAGATCTCAACACCTCTTGAATCTCAGGTAGTGCAGCTTCATAGGACCTGTTGCATGGCTGCTAAAATAAAAGAAAAGCAATTGTCACAGGAGAACTGAGGACTTAAGTTCATTAAAATCTTCCTCTAAGTTGATTTTCCGTTACCTTCACATTCTGAATACTTGAATGTTTTGAGCTTCTAAGATCAACAGCCTGCAATTTAACAACTTTCCTCTAATCATTAAACTAGAATTAAAGAGTTTCTCATGTTTGGAATGTTAAATATTCTTCAGCATGAGCATTTATAATGAATGGTTTGTTTAATGGGCGTCCAAATAACACATAATAAGAAATCAATGAATAGTAAATATTTATTAGCAATTATAATATTTAATGTTATCATTGCATTGGATCCTATGATTTCCAATAAAAACTAACTATATATGGATTCTTACTATATTCTCTTGTGCACACATTAGAAAAACCGTATAAAAAAAAATATGATAAAAGAAAAGCAACTCAACAAGAAAAGGGGAAAGATCAGATTACCATGAAAACACAGGTTTACAAAGAAGAACATAGGATATTTTGTGGGGTCTAGGGGTGTCGATGGACAAGAGGGATAAAGAAAGAAAAAAATTGAGCAATTTTATCCCTCCAGAAACAGCAAATGGCATGTTAAAAGCAACCTAAGAAAAAATTTCACCACTCTAAAACCTTGGTTCAAGTTTTCTTGGGACATTTATTTACATACTTGAGTATTGGAAAAATGATAACACAACAGAGTTTTGTGCAAATAAGGAAGGAGAAAAACCTCAAGTGCTTTGCAAACACTTTCAAGTTCTGGACCATAGTTGATCTGCTGAGTAGTCATCACAACCTCAACAACCCCCAAGCACATCCTGCTTCCTTGCTCAAATATTGGAACAGCCAAGGTTCCACGCACATCATACTCTTGAGCATGGTCAACTCGCGGGTACTCATCACTCCTAAAGAATCTAACATCAGGAGTCCACTCAGGAACCTTATCCCTAAACACTCGACCGGGCAATCCTGGCACCAACTCCTTGGAATCCTCCTCCTCTGCCGAAAACTGATACCTCGCAGAGATTTCTCGGTATTTGGCAAGGTTTGGAGACCTTGATTCGAGAGAGAATAGAAGATCATTAGCTGCCAGAATCGGCTTACCCCCTCTATGAACAGGCACCCATATTTGTATAAGCATATCTTTGTTCCTGTTATAATACTTGATCAACTTGAGGGCCCTTATTAGCTTCTCCATTATAGAAGGGCCAGGTCCTGGATTAGGTGTGGGTGGAAACCACCACCTTCTAACTACTTCAGATGCACCTTCAACTGAATGAGTTTCAGACTGGAACTGCTGTCTACAACCATCAGCAACAACATTAACCATGTTCTGGCTTCCTTGTTGGTTCCCAAAAGCAGCTTCCTGGGATTCATTGTAGTCGTTGGTCTCCAAAGCAGGCCAAGGGAATGAAGGGTCGTAAAGGTTGGAAAAAGAAGGACTCTGCAGCAAGAAGTCAGATCCATCAGCAGCAGCTTCCAACCAACATCCGTCTAAGAAAAGCTCACCCATGTAGTCAAAATCCATTGAGGTTGTTCCATCAGTTGGTGGAGGAACTTGCATCATGGTAGCAGATGATGTTACACCTCCATCTCCCATCATGGGTGGGGTGCTTGTGCTTCTACTTCTTCCTCCCAAAACCACACTTGCGCTTGCTAGAATCTAGATGCACAGGTCCAGCTCCCAAACAGATCTTAAAAATCGTGTCTTGTCACAAGATGATAATAACTATCTTCACTCTTCAAACTTTGTCCTCTGTCCAAATTTGTCAGTAATGTCAGTAACAGAAGATTATATCTATCTTGCCAACGAATAACATGGAAGGAATAAGACATAGAGAGACAACAAAAATGATGTTTCTTTTTCTTTTCTACTGAAAATCCTAACATAGTCAAAACAGCAAAAGTAATGATTTTGCAGAACCAACCCGAAATTTTGACACCCTCATCATGGAAATAGGATATATTCCCCGTCCAAATCCACGAAGCAAGAATCAAAAAGGGGAAACGGAAAAGATGAGATTTGGACCAGAAAAACCGTAGCAGTGCTTGAAAAGAAAAGATTCTCTCCCAACAACACTGTCCCTCAAATACACTTTACTGCAAATGATATGCAAGGTTCCACCACTTGTAATGAAGCCAATATTTTTGTAGGAGGGAATACAGAAAGGAACCGAACCTGGTGAAGTTAAGCTGCAGAGAAAACAAATACCAATAACTCGACATGTAAAGATTCTTGAAGATACCCAACTTGGGTTTCTATTTTTTATTATTGTTATTCTTTTTATTCTTTGCACTCCACTGTTTTACTACAAGGTAACAAAATAAACGGTCTAGCCAACGAGTGCTATTTAAAAATAGTTAGAAATTTGTTAGAATATATTAAAATTAGTAATTAACGTGAATCAATAATGTTTTGAATAATTTTTCAATTAATGTCCCAAACATTTGTCTAAAATAAAGGTAAAAAATGGTAAAAAAAAGAAATAAAAATAAAAAAAGGTTGGTGATGAAAAAGAGTGGGCAACCCCACGAGAAGACAAGCATGCATTATATTAGAAGGAGAAGGAGCCACGGAAAGGCGATGATTCCAAGTGAAGAGGGAGAAGATACTGATGCGGACTCCTACCCCACAAAACCCAACACGCAACAGTGTTAGTATTCGCCTTTGGAACTCTCGTTCTCGCGGTGAAGTCAAACGATAAGCCTAACTCAACGTAAACCTCTCTGAGTGTTTGTGTGTATCTCTATGATTGATGATGATGATGATGATGATGCCCATAGCAATAACATTCTTTATAGTTTGTGTTGTTAAAGTTGTTATTTTCATTTTTATATAGTTGCTGGAATCAGAATCCTTCGAAGTGGGTAAAAGAAATGTTGCTGTGCTCGTCCCACATTTGCCACCATCACTGCAATTTGCCAATTCCTTTTCTTTCTTTTCAATCTCTGTGGTTTCAGCCGAAAGGCCCACAAACCTATTAAAATGTTTTTTCTTTTTGAAAAAATTAATAATAATTCTGGCTCACGCTCGTGTGGGACCCAAGCTTTTTGATTTCTGAGTTTTGTTTTATGGAAATGACGTCAACTCCGCTTGACATTTTGTTTAGTATGTTATTCATCGCTTGGGCTTTTTTTTTAATATGTTAAAACTTTTTAGTATGTTAAGAGAGAGTGGAGGCTTTTTTTTTTTTAATTAGCGAAATATAGGTATTTTTTTTTTTACAAAATTACATAAATATAGTTTTTTAAAAAAAATTAGGGATGACTTTTGAACAAAAGTCTACATGGCAACTTTTGGTACGTAATAAAACTTAAGATAAAAACATATTTATAATGAAAAAAATTGTTTATAAAAAGTATATATTATTGAGATAAAAAATAAATTTTTTATTAATTATAATACAAATAAAATAATAATAATAATTAGATATCTTGATATGAATATTTGACACCATGATTTAATATAAAATTTTATAACACAATCTTTAAATTTTTGTTATAACTAAAATTTAAGTGATTTTAACTTTTTATAATAAATAAATTTTATTAATAATTTTATATCGTATACATCAAATGTACATGTCAACAAAATTATTTAATTAAAAATAAAAATAATTATTATATTTAAAATAAAAATTTATTTAATATCTATTTTCATCAATTAACATTGTTAAAAAAAGTATTTAACACTTTTAATTTATACGTCGAGTACAAATAATAATATTAGTTAAACTAAATTTTAATGATCTAATTAGTTACCACCTTAATTTTGTGTTTTTGTTATTTTTTATAAAGTGGTCATAAACTAATATAATCCAATAAAAAGTATAAAAATTAAATTAATAAATAGAAAATGACATGGCTAAAAAACACTAAAATGTTGAAAGTTTCCAATTAGATTTAATCACATTTTAAAAATCAGTTCAAACTGGATTTATGTGCATATATAACTTTATTCGTTAACTAGTTAGCATGTCTTACATACTTCTACAAATTTACATTTATGAAAATTTAACATTAGTATAATTTTTTTCATGGTTTTATTCTCCAAATATGTTAATTCTAGATTAATTTAAATTTTATTCTTGCATTTTTTTTAGTTGTCTCAACTAATTTTTTTAAATTATATATTCATTAATTTATTTAATGGGTTAAATCTATTAGTTAACATAAAGATATAGAGTTTAGACTACCAATCCATATACCAATTGACATATTTAAACGCCTTATTGTAAAATATGCAAGGTTCCGGCATTTAATATTACAAAAACATTATGTTAGAAATATTTTTGTATATATTTTTTTTATTTATTTAATGAAATGTTGTCATTTTATTTAAAGTTTTTTTTCTTAAAATTCAATTACTTATCTTCTTCAATGTCTACACCTTTCGTTTTTGTTTTTTTTTTTTCTTTCTGGCTCCTTGAAAATTTTTAATTTTAGATTTAACTCTCTGAAAAAGAGACTAGCTTCACGCATAATAGTGTCTTCTTTTAAAAAATATTTATCATATAAATTTGGTATAAATGTTAATTTACGAAACAAATCAAGCTAATTTTATGCTAACGTCTGACCAAAACCCATTTCCTCATCTGTTTATGTAACTGCTAGAGATAGAGAGATCGAGTACGTAAAATAGAGGTGATATTTAAGATAAAAAATAGTGTGAGTCTAATTAATTAACTAAATAACTCACTTTATCAAACTTATTCATATTAGTTCATCTCTTTTCATTTAACTAAAAAGTATTTCGCATTGTCAATGACGTGAGGGGGGCTTCGCCTCCGCATTGACCCAGTCATGCTCATGCATTACAAGTCGAAAGAAAGTGAATAAAACTTGTTCGATTTGCATATTATGACGCGGGATTAGGAGAACTTCTTCTAATTTTATTACCAGATGTACAAAGATCTCAACTTTTGGCCATGAATCTTCACTAAAACAAATCATCTTGATTTAACATTGATTTTTAAACAAATAATATATCAGGAAGTCTTAGTATACTATAATTGATACATATGGCATCATGTTATTTTAGGATTACGCATACTTTTATTAATAAAGTACATGTTTAATTGACAGAAGCTATGTCGGAGTGAAACCGACATTAATATTTGTCCATTAGCTAGTTAATTGGAGTTTCAATTTATGTTAAAAATATATTTGTAAATTTTATTTTAGTTCAAAAACTTATTTAATGGAAACAATTTTAATTTCTATCACAATATAAAAATATTTAAATGGAATTAGTAAAGATATCGATAGATTATAATGAATTTCAAAAGCTTATTTAAACTTATTTAATGGAAACAATTTAAATTTTTATCGCAATATAAAAAATATTTAAATGGGATTAGTAAAGATATCGATAGATTTGAATGAATTTCAAATATTGCAATAGTACATATATAGCTCTTCCTCCATGTCTATACATCATGTAGGGAAATGAGATTACAATTAAGATTTGAGATTCTCAATAATCATAAGTATCGGAGTCTCATACATTTATAGATTTCGGCATAATTTGGAATGATTGAAATCAACTCATATAAAAAAATAACTGAAACGAAAAATAAAAGTGGTCCACCTTCAACTTGCCGTGCCCAACATTAATTTATTAAGAACTTTGTATAAAAAACAATAGTGAGTTTGCTTTTACGAGTGAAAATCGTAAACTCGCTGCGAGATTCCCAATCCAATTGTTTAAAGTTTTAAGCTTTAAATACTAAAATGGGAATAAGAATCCATCCCCACCAAATGGTTTTTAATTCGTTTGACGCCAAAGAGATCCACAGGGTGATGAGGCCATTAACGAAGGAGATCCACAATACACCACAAATCTGACAACGACAATATTCGGTCTCATACGGCAACCCGAATCCTAAAAAATGAAAAGCAATGTCTCTTTCTCTGTGCTGGAAAGATGACGTCGAAATAATATTGTATAACATTTGTAGCAAATTATGATTATTAATTGTAGGGTTTGTGTGGTTCGGTTGTAGACGGCACCCAGGGTAGGTTACTTGTTCCAAGGTAACCGGTGCTTCTGCATGTACTATATGATGTTATTACTGTTCTGCCTTTGCTGCATGCTAGCCAACAACATGCATAGGACTAAACGCGAATGTGTAATAAAAGCAGTAGTTTAAAAAACACATAATATATAAAGGACCAAAAATATATAATAATAAAACACAAGATATATCTGGGTCATGTCTTATGTAGTGTTGGAAATAGAGAATAGAGGGCACGCAAATTTGTGCCCGATCGATGAAACTCATCCTTGCTCCTCAATATCTCTGCATGCCTCACTCACCCTTATGATCGATTATTTCTAGACAAAAGGCACATGACTGAGAACTATATAATATTTCTGAGTTTGGTCACACTTTTAATAATTCTGACCAAAAAACAAGCTACAGCATGTTCGTCACACCGAACCGAACCACAGCGGTGGCTTTATCTTCTCAAAGATTGTTGTGATCACTTGAATATCATTCCTGTCGTATTTTAGAATTGGATTCCATTCATTATTTGTATAGAAAATATATGATGTCAATTATATATATACATATATATACATATATATATATATATATATATATAATTACGTATGTCTATTTTCTGTTAGTTAACGAATGGCGTAATGTATGTACTTAGATTAACCCAAATTTTCGAAGTTGTTGTCTATGACTATGATAGAGGAGAGTCTAACAAGTCACCTTCAAGGAAAAAGGTTAAAGGGCCAAAAATGGGTGGCAGCAAAGAAATTGATGGTTGCTTTGAACGAGTAGTGTTGGTAACTTGTAAGACGAAACGGGGACCTTTAAACCACTACTTGTGGGGGACGCCAAAATGGTCACTTCTGTCATTGTTGTCCTTTTTTTTTTTCTCCTATGGTATTGTTTCGTCTGTTAGATCATTATTCCCAGCTATTAAACACAACCATATAATCCTGATCATTATAATCAACTTGGTTATGATTTGTGGTCGTGGTTGTGATTACAAATAACGGAACAAACCTAGGCCCAACTAAAGCCCACACAGGCCCATAGTGGGCCCAGTAAAGGAAGTGAAAAGACCCGCCCCAGAGAACGACCCGATGATTCTTACTTCATCATGCTGCTAGCAACGACAAGGGACAGTTGTCCGCTTAGGAGTGGAGGAAAGATAAAATAGAAAAAAAAATTGTTTTTCTCTAAGTGATGTCAGTGATCTTTATTGATTAAAATTAAATTTTATTTTAACAAAATATTTATATTTAATGTTATTATAAATAAAACTTTAATTTTAATTGATAAACAATGTTTAAAGAATTCCACCTAAAAAAAATCTTACAATCATGGAGATGCTGGATGACATTCTAGTTCTAAGCTTGGAATATTCCTTTCAGAGTAATGGAAAATTAAAACTGGTCTCTTGGACGAGAATTCTTTCCCTTTCTACTCTCTCCTAATCTATTTCTGGGCAGGAGTGGGACGTTGCCAAAGACGTCGATTGTAGTTGAGATATTAACATCAACTATCAAGTTTATGTGGTATTTATAATTTTTAATAAAAATAATGACATCATCGTTTTTTTTGTTACATAAAGGAAAATTAGAAAACAGAAAAAAGAGAAAAGGAACTAGTATCTCAAATGCGTAGTACCAATGGCATCCGAGAACAACAAACTAAATAAAGTTGGAGAAGTCCTTGATACAGGAGACTTCCAAATTAGCTAATATCATCGTTGTAAGAATAATCATAAAGCATACATATTTAAAAACTTAAAACTAATTAATATTCAATTTTATTAAATAAAAAAAACATACAAGATTGTAAAATTAAAAAAATTATTTAAATCAAGATACATAATCTTTATATTTTTTTAACTCAAAATTACGTGTCAACGTTCAAACTTTACAATTCAATTCAAATTTAAATTAAGATTAATTAAATATAAATAACAGTAATTAATATGAATGAAAATATAAATATAAATAAAATGAGACAGTTAATGCAAGAGAAATTACGTGACTTAAAGAAGCAAAACAATTCTTAATAATCATTTCGTAGGGAATCAATTTTATAATATATAAATAGAGAATAAAGTTTATTTTAATTAATTCATGTATGACAAATGATGCAAAATATTATATTTTCAGCCTTTTTTATCAAGAGAGAATGGGTGAGGTAAGTCCAAATGAGTTTGTACAAGGCCAAATTTGATGAGAAACAAATTTGCAAATTGAAACGAACAAATCACGAGAGGAAGAAGTGTTCGGAATATAGCAGAGACCAAATTGCGAGAAGAATTGGAAAAATAAAAATGGTATGTAATTAATGAAACGAGAGAAGATTATTGCATTTTAGAATCAAGTTACGGGATGACTTGTATACGAGAGAGTAAAACCAACCTACAAACCATCTAACTAATAGCACAATCTCTAACTGAGTTCCAATTCCTTGTAATACTCTCGCAATCAGATAAATGCATACAAGTTGTTATCACATCAACTAAGCAAGAAAACAAATACAATGATATTAGCTACAACCGAAGCATGTAGCTCCAATAATCGAACTTCTCACTAGATCTAGTCATCTACACTACACTCGTGCCGGAAGAATAAGGCTCTACCAACCCACCCTCAAATGTATCACATGATGTCGAACAATCTCAAATGTAAGTGTAATCAAAACTCCCAACTGTGTCAAAAGCTTAAGTACTTAAGTAGAAACTACAACCAACACATGACCATTTAGCAAAAGCAAATAACAGCAAAATTACGCTTCAGTGGAGCTGAAAAAATGAGGAAGTAACACACAAATTTGAACAAGCTCCTAAACCGAAGTTAAACCAAAAGACATTTCCGAAGCAAATCAGTAATCACAAATTAAAAGTAGATAAACTTTTGATCTTATACTTCTACCTTTGTTACCGAGTTCAATGATATCTTATAATTCAGGGATAAAGCTTGTTTGTTGTTGTTTTTGTTGTTTTACAGTTGTTATGCTTACACGAATCGCTTGATGTCGTAAAAAATATTTAAATTGAAATTCTCTAAGTCAAATCAGTTGTTCTTACTAGATTTAGAGCATTTGGGTTCATATCCTCGGTTCCTTGACCCAGTTTTGTTTGCAAGAAATGCAAACGGTTTGGATCCTCAACATAGAGTGATTCTTCAGCTCATTTATATAAATTGCATCTTGAGGAGAAACAGAGTTGACATCACAATAAGGGTCCCAACAAACATGAACAAAAACAAGGCTCTTGTCTTGAACTCCAAGGATGCATCCACTAGCTCGACGTCCGAAACTTCGGGGTGGAGACTACCAATGTAAAAGGGTGCCAGAGGCCAAAGTAGGGGCAGTCAATGGAGAAACTATTTAGGACCAATCTGATCACTGAAGTAGAGAAAAAAAGAGAAATCCAGGACTTGCTGAAGTAAAGTTCTTCAAATAATCCTCAGCTTCAAATAGTGGTTTAGAAAGCAGCGGGGTGATCCAAGACTGGACTCTTTCTACCACGAACACAACTGAGAAGTTTTTGAAATGCAAAGATGAGAGAGAGCAAGGTTCAAAGTTCTTTATGAGTTCTGAAAGAAAAAATTGTAGAGATAGGAACTAATGTGGGAAAATGACGAAAGTGCAAAAGAAAAATGAGAGTGAGAAAATGAACTCATGGAGCTTAGTACAGTGGAAGATCTATTCTGCACAAGATTGATATCATGAGAATTTATACTATAACGAGAAACATGACAGAATCTAACGAATGAAAAGAATTAAGAGAATAAAAAGGGGTATGATTGACAAAAATGGGAGATGATAATAAAAACTGGACTAATAATGTGACTTAACAAGAAACGAGAGTGAAAGACACTAACCATCTAACCAATATCATAACATTAACTCCTTTAAAGAGAAAGCAAGACTTGTCGAACTTGTTAATTAATCCTGGTGGTGCAATGATATTCGACAATCACCATTTCTTGGTTCATGAAAACAACTAAAGCCATAAATGTTATCTGGTAGCTACATGTCCCAATCAAAACGAGTTAATTTGATAATGGCAAGAATTTATGACTCAAAGCTACCTCCCAGGAAGAATGGACGTTCCAATCAAACACAACCAACATAAGCCAAACTACATCTCATTTTGACATTTTTGGGGCGGTTCGAATCTCATTTTGACTTTTGAACAACCCGAAAAACATTCGCAGATATGAAGCTGCTGCTTTGGACCCATTGAGTTATCTGAACTTCCAGCCGATTAGGTCAGATTCGTCAGAATATGCCTAATAATTGAATCATAAACGCCAGGATGTATATTAAGTGTAAAAAATTATGAATGATTCCAAATTCTCATTATACAAATTTTTTATTTAATACTTTCTTAATTATTAGAATAACAAGGATGTGTAACAATCGACAACAATAATAGCAGGGAAACAGAGCCCCAGAAGCTAAATAAATACCAACACATACAAAAGGCATTTATGAGTAGCTCAACGAGTTGCATACATGGAGTTATTGGTACACAACATAATCTTGGAAGAAAAGGACTAGTCCTTTCAATGATCCAAAGCCACATCCTTATCGTACTCTTTTGCACTTATCATGCTCTTTGCACATCTGCAACTCCTAAAAATCATTCCGGGGTTGGCAACAACCTTAAATGCTTGGCCTCAAGTTGAGATGAGATGCTATCTTTTGACCAAGAGAACGGTCAGCCTGCATAGCAATGCCAACAAAGAACATCATGTGAGCAAACCAGAGCAGATTCATTTATACACCTGACCCTGTAGTTCCTATAAAGATTAAATTAGAATGTTCAAATCTCACCTGAGACCAGTATGATATCCAGATACTGCGGATCTCATGGGTGACACGTGGGTCAGATAAAGCCTCAAACCACCTGCGGATAAATCTATCTTGCCTGCAAATCAGTAAAAAAAATAGCAGAGAGAATCCAACATTAGATATCACTAAACATATTTCATATTGATCACATCGATAGTTAATAACAGGAACCTGTCAGGTGCCCAAGATCGGTATCTCTCTCCAGGCTGCTTGAAGTTGTTCTCCTTCTCAATTACACACTGCATTATGAAGTAGAGTTGTTAATACTTCAACATTCTTGACCTAATATAGGCAGTATTTCAACAGTTTCACCAGTTCTATTTTATTGTTTTGCAAAACCTTATCATTTACCTAGATGGATAGGACTTGGTTGTTGTTGTTTTACAAAATCTTATCATTTGTTTTATAAAGCATTAATAACAAATCTCTTCTATCCAAAAGTAACGCTGAAAACAAACAAAACTTAACATTGTGTTGATTGACACCTAACTTCATCAACAATTAAGAAATATTTAATCAAAGTCACAGGTCCATTTCTTTGCTTAATTTTCATATTGTATTTTCTCAACAACATTATTTAGTCTTTACTTACTAAGTTAAACAACTAGAAAAGCACATCAAAGAAAGATAATTTTTGTCCAATGCTCTCCTTGGATTTTTCAGAAAATTTGGTTTAGAACTATAAAATGTATGGTTTCTTTGACAATCCAAAAATGAAATGAACTAATGCAACCTAAACTGAAACCTATAGCTGGTGGATTAATCCACTAACAGATGTTCCACATTTTCATATTAAGCAATTGATCAAAGACTAACCCTTTCACGTCTTCCATTGAAGATAGCAGGAGGAATGGGGAACCTTTCGGCATGACGAACAGGATCATACCTTGAAGGGAAGTAATTCACCTATAAATTGGCAGCGCTCAGTCACAAGAAAAAAAAATTGTAAATAACTATATAATAGGTTGCAATATCACCCAATCAGCATGTGTATGAATAACTTAACAGCGCTAAGTAGTTAACATGGCAACCAGCTTCTTATACATAAAACAAATAAGAGAATTTAAGAAGAATGAAAATATTAATTTACCTCCTCATCCCTGTGCATGAAATTCATGAAACCTTCATGGTGATTGTTGTGGTGAGCACACTTGGGAGCATTAGCAGGAAGCTGCAGATAGTTTGGTCCAAGTCTGTGCCTCTGGGTATCGGCATAAGAGAATATCCTGGTTTGAAGCAACTTATCATCTGAGTAATATACACCAGGCACCACAATGGCAGGGCAAAATGCTAGTTGTTCATTCTCAGCAAAGAAATTATCTATGTTCTTATTCAAGACCATGCGACCAACAGGCTGCAGGGGTATAATGTCCTCAGGCCAAGTCTTAGTGACATCAAGTGGGTCAAAGTCAAATTTGTCTTCATGATCAGGATCTATTGTTTGAACATACAGTTTCCACTCTGGATAGTTACCAGCAGCAATAGAATCATAAAGGTCTTGAGTGGCATGACTGTGGTTGGATCCTCCCACCTTAATGGCCTCTTCCTCCAATAGACACTTTACACCACACGTGGGCTTCCAGTGAAATTTCACATACACTGCTTTGCCAGCCTTGTTGATCAGGGTATATGTGTTAACTCCAGAACCATCCATATGCCTGTAATCTTGTGGGACACCCAAATCATCAAATAAAAAGGTGAACATGTGAAGGCTCTCTGGATGGTGAGAGAAGAAGTCAAGGATCCTCCAATTCTCCTGGATGTGGGACCTGGGATTGGGTTTAAGAGCATGGACCATATCTGGAAACTTCATTCCATCACGTACAAAGAAGACAGGAAAGTTGTTTCCAACAAGGTCAAAGTTACCCTGTGTTCACGAGGTAAAAATAGTAATCACAATTAGTGCCAGATTGATACCATTACCATATGACCTCCATTTGAAAACCTGTTAACATGTCAGCAACTAAACCAGTACCCTGAGGTGCAGTGGGAATTTCTTCTAAAGAGATGGAGGGAAATTTAAAAGTAATAAAGTAATTGTCTTTAGCGTTAGTTTGGCTAAAATCTCAACAAACACTTACAAGGGAAGAAAATAAAAAAAAATCAAGTAACATGAACGATAGTTCTCACACAAGTTAAAATTAACTTATTCAACTTAACTTTTTCAGAAGCTCACTTATTTAAAACTTCTTTAAAAGTTGAGATACACAATTTGATTTTCACAAAGAGAAGTTTCATTCATTTTACCTGCTTCATTCGTTTTATTTTCTTTTCCTATAACTTTTTGTTGAGCAATTTATCCAACTGGCCCTTAGTTATTGGAAGTGGAAGATAGTATCCCGTATACTCAATAAATCTTTACCTCTCTGGTGTAAAATTTCACAGCAAAACCTCGAGGATCCCTCAAGGTTTCAGGGCTACCACGCTCATGGATGACAGTCGAGAAACGGACAATTACAGGTGTCTGAACACCAGGGGCTCGAAGGAAATCTGCACACGTCAGGTGAGAAATGTCATGTGTGACCTCAAAGAAACCCTTAGCACTAGCTCCCCTAGCATGGACAACACGTTCTGGGATCCGCTCCCTGTCAAAGTTAGCAAGCTTTTCCACAAGATGATAATCCTCCAGGAGAATAGGACCTGCCAAAAGGGGAAAAATAATATAAATTTCTGATTAAACAATATTCAGCCAAATTCACTCTGAGCTTTACGACAGTAACAGACAGATAGATATGCCCCCTCTCCACCAACACCAAAAAATTGCAGGAAAAAAAATGAAATAATTTTATCATGGAAAAATAAAATAAAAGATTAAACTATGTGTTGACATATATAATTTCTACGACAGGAATAAAACAAAAAACCAATCTGTGTCACTTGTGAGGCGTTCTGAACATTCAGTGAGCCAAAATTACCAAGGGTAACAGCTAATAACAAAAATCACAGTCCGCTATACTCAACTACATTAAATTTGTATTTTATTTAAACGAGGGAGCACATCCTGCACTAATAGCACGAAATCATATCATTTACCGCGATTCTACTTAACAGGCATGAAACCAAAATTAAGTCCAAAGCAAGTTCTTCAACAGAGAAAGTCGAAAACAAATTCAGTAAATAACAAGGCATTTAAATGCATTATTATGCAACATCAACATGTCAGTCCCTTACAGAAAATGGTTTAGTTGATACCTCTAGTTCCAACGGTTAAAGAGGAGTTGTTGTTCCAAACAGGAGCACCAGAATTTGTAGTCCAGAAGGGCGAATTGAAGGCGCTAGATGGCCGGTACTGCATCACATAAAACACTTGTCAGCAAACACGGTTTCATAATCGATCCACACCATAAAACTAGCTTCACGAAGCTCAAATTCAAAGAGTTGGCGAGTTTTAACCGACATAGTCGAGGTAAATGAAACGATAAAAACAAAATCGATATATTATACGTTAATTTTTTTCCTTTGTTAAAAAAAAATAAGAAAAAAGAAGGAGATGAGTGGAATTTTCTGATTGTATGTTAGAAGATAGAAAGCAATAAAAGAAGAAAATAGGAATTGATTTTCACGTATTGTATTGGGTGCATACCTTGTACGGATCCATGGAAACGGTAGAGTGAAAGATGAAAGAAAGAAGAGGATGAGAATGAGATTGAGAAGAGTGGCGAACGTGTGACAATCGCGAGGCTTACGGCCTTATAAAGACTACCTCCTTTTTATCTCTTTTTTTTTTTTTTTAATTCATAGTTGTCCTTTTTTATATTTCTATATAAATAATACGATGATTATCAATGAAATTCGCGAGACAGAACTACGGAGATCAGAACATTTCTGTTTTTTCGTAAAACGTGAAAACGTGAAGGAACGAAAATCTCGTTTCAGACCATTAAACGGTGGAGCTCCAAATTATCAACCAGTAACTAACATTCGTATTTTCAGGAACTATTTTTTATTATATTAAGCAGTTTTTATTGTTTTTATTTTCATTTTAAAAATAATTAAATAATATACATATAATAAAAAAACTTGCTAATAATTTTATAATTTTGATTATCTCACCGATAAGGCAAAACAAGTTTAATGTCACATTTAAGAAATACTAAATGTCAAAATGAGCATGTATATAAAAACTATAATGTCATAACATAAGCATTTGATTCTTTGAATAGTTTCAAATTTTCATTTTAATCTTTTTGAAATTCATTCAAAGTCTGAAAACAAAAAACAAAGATGGTTTATTTTTAGTATTGGAGTTCAAATAAGGAACAACATTAAAAAACCAAACCCATATTTCAATTTTATAACATATATAATATATCTAAATTGTTGTATAAGTAAAATTCATCATTTTTGTTTAAGATTTATCTCTGATCAGTTATTTAGTTAAATGTTTTACAAGATATAAAAAAATATTGTAAACAAGTTTCAGCAATCATTTAAAGATTAAACATGTTAAAAGCTTCAAATATTAATATATCAACTCCATATTTCAATTTTATCACAATATAATACATTTAAATTATGATATAAAACAAAACTCATCACTTTTTGCTTTAAATTAACTTCTACTCATTTATTTATTTAAATGTTTAAAAAATAAATAAATAAACTGTAAACACATTGTAGCAATTATTTAAAGACTCAAACGTGTTAAAGACTTCAAACATTAATATATAAAATATCAACTTAACATTTCTTATCCTCTAGTTATGATTATTTCATATTTTTAAAAATTATATAATTATCATTTAATTTTCTATTACAAGAAAGTAAAAGATTATGAATTGACTGCATATATCATGTTCATAACAGTATGAATCGAAGCAAGGATAATAATGATGGCAGATCGGTTATTTTAACCATCGAGAAATTTGACTTAATTATATTTTATGCCCGTTTTTCCTGTTCTTTTGTAAAAATAAAACATAAAAAAAAATATCTAATGAGACCTAATTGTGGATAAATATGGGAACCACGCAACTTCTCGCCGATATTTCATGGAATGTAACAACTTAGGACCCACAACTAATATATTAACAATTAGTATACAATGGACTAATATTTTATGGTGGGAATAAAAATAGATAGATAAGAGATTAGGATTAAGTTGAGAAAAACATTTAAATATTTGAGAACGTCATGCGTTCATGGTTCCTTATCTTGTTTCCGGCGTTTTCTTCTATATTTGGCCGGAGCAATTCGTGAGAAGGAGACATGGGCCATTGCTAATATGCCACGTTACCTAAAGCCCTTGAAACGTGTGCCCTCACCAAAATTAGATGATGTGCCAATCCTAATTACGATCAGCTATAGCTAAAATTGAAAAAAGAAACGAAACTAGTTACAGTTTTAAAATCGAAGGGTTCGAATTTTTTTAATAATAAATATAATTTTTATGGATGGAATTTCGAACAATTACTTCGAATCTACACAAATCACAGATGCATGATGATGGTCCTTAGATGCACCCAAAGAGTCAATTTTGTTTGGGGCGTGCAATTCATGTTTATGCCAACGTTCAAGCCTTCCCTACTCTATGGTTTATTCTTTTACGAAAAATATTAATACGAAAAAATCACCTATTTCCAGGAGATGAGATAATCCTGTGCATATAAACTCAGGCGCAGAAGCATTATTGGATAACTTTGATATGCGGTCGCTGAAAAGTTTTTATTATAACGATATGTTTTATTAACCTTTTCCTATGGTGAAACACAAATGAGTAGGAGTGACAAAAGTACATGGCTTTTCTCTTAGCAATAATAATATTTTAAGTTTTTCACGTAGAATCTTAAATACACTATTTGAACAAAAATTAAACGATTATTTTTTTTAACCCAAAATTAAGACATGTTGATGAGGGGGAAAAAAAAAGCGATGGAATGATATTCAAATAGTATATTTTCAACGACTCCTAAACTTTCTACGTTTTTTTTCTCCCCAAAGAAAAAAATCTTTGATTCTGGTTAAGATGGCACTTTTTACAACATATAGAAAATAATAGTGTTAAAAAAAAAATACATCAATAATATTTGTTATCAATAAAAGAAAAATATTAAGATGGGAGTATTCCTACCCTTACATCACCACTATTTAAAAATATGTTTAAATAGCAAAAATAAATAAATATATATATATATATATATATATATATATATATATTTAACAACACATATCAATATATGATAAAGAGTTTGATAATCTTTTATACAGAGAAAAGTATACTCTTTCAAATCTAACCCTACATTGATGACATGTTAAGCTAAAATCTTTAAGTTTTAGTACTTTCTTTAATTATAAGAAATAAAAGAGAAAAAGTGGCAATTATGTTTTAAAATCAGGGCAGAGCATAATTTTGAATGATAATTTATCATATTCACAGACAGTTCATAAAAAAACGTATATCTTATACCTTGTCAAGAATGAGAAGAATCTCGCTGAAACGACACGTAAAATGTCAGTTACAAGGAGAATGATCAAATCCGACAATGGGGGTTCTCTCCCTTTTTTTAATAATTTTATTAAAGTACAACAAGCATTTCTTCCTAAATAATTATGTAGATTATTTTAATATGATTTTAAAACAACTAATAACTCCGTTTGAATAATAAAGATAAAATAGTTTAGAGTATATATATATATATATATAGCAAGTAGGTATTCACATCAAGGAGAAGCTAGTAGCATTTAACTTTGATAGGACAATAACGTGTTTTTTTATATATAAATTAAGTACTTATTACCGTACTTATAAATTTTAAAAAATATTTTATAATATTTTTAAATTAACATGATTGTTTAAATATTTTAAAAATTATATTTTTTTAAGATATATCATTAATCTTATTATCTATTATACATATTTAATATAAAATTAATAATTATAATTATTTCACTATAAAATATTCTTTTAGTCTTCAAGGTTATAGAAATTATCAAAAAACTATTCTACTCCTAAAAGCACATTAGTCAGAAGAAAATTGTAACTTTGAATTAAGTTTAAAAAAATTATATTAAAATTTATTATAAATTTAATTTTAAAATAAAAAATTCAATATAACCCCCTTCACTTCAAACTCTTTATTAATAAAAATAAGTTTTATAAAATTAAAATAACTAAAAAAAATATTTTGAAACCCTCACGTCCAGACAGTCAGTATTACGTATTTGGTTTGAACGGTGATATCGTAAAGGACAAGTTTTGAAGGCTCAGGATAAGTGAATGTGATCAAGCCATGTAAATTGCTAACTCACCGTGGATTTCTACTCCTCACTCTACTTCACTGTATAATGTAGAACAAACTGCGGAGACTGAAAAAAAAAGGTAACAACTTATTTCCTAACAGATTCCCATGAAGAGAAGAGTGAAGAATGACCTGCTTCAACATTTTCCTTTGTTGAGTAATGATGAGTGCTATTCCTTTTTTGTCCCCTCTTGGGAAGGGGGTCATGATATTGTTCAGGCTTAACAATTTTATAACTAAAACAATTTTCTTAAAATTACTATTATCGTACAAAATTATTTTATCATTAAATTCATCGAGAAAAATAATTTTGTCTAATTATAATTAATTGATGAATATAAATACCGCATCAATATTTACATGGTTTTAACTTAATGGACAAAAACAAGTTACTCTCTTTTATAAAATATTAAATACAAATATATTTAAAAGAGTTTAATTTTGCCATTGAAGTGTTAATAACCTCGTCCAAGAGAGATGTTATTGTTGGATAAACTTTTTCTTTTTAGCTTGTTTTTGCTATTGCACGATTAGGGGGCATCGCGATCTCTCTTTATTTTTTTCTTTAATTATTACACACGTGCCCTTTACAAAATTTATACACACATAATTTTTTTATGTCGGAAAACACAATTTCTTTATGTCAAATAGATACGCAAAATTTTTATGTCAGATAAATACGCAATTTTTATGCCTTGCAGCATGTATTTTTTGAAATTTGACACAAACATCACATGAAAGGCTTTAAATATAGTTGGATATAAGGCTTATTATTACAATTTGCAAAAACTCTTGGGAGAACGGTAGTATGTATATTGATAATGATAACGTATCCTCCTAAGAAAAACTCAAATGAAGAATAAACGCTCATAGATTTAATGTACCGCGTCATCTTTAAATATCGTTGCAGTTTTTTTGTTTAAGTCAATAAAAAAAAAACTTGTAAAACATTTGAAAATATATTACTGATGGATTACATACAAAATTAGACTTATAACAATGGAGTCTAACATATAGTATTTTGATTTTAGAAAAATATTATACAACATTTAAATTGTCTTAATAAAAAATAAAAATTTTACGCTTTAATTAAAAAGTTATTAATCCATTATCATAGAGAAAATGAGATTTACTACATAACAACAACACTGTTATAGTATATAATATTTTTAGTAAGATTCTTTGAAATAGAATTGAACAATTAAAAACTTACAATGTGATTCGTATATTGTCAAAACCTTAACAAGAGTAAGATTAGCATCATTACCTTATCTTAAAATAGATCTATCAATAAATTATAGTTTTTTTTTAGAGTTTAACATTATGCACATTACTTTGCTCTATGAATAATAATTTGTCTCAGTTAAAAATTCTGAAATCAAAACTAATTTTAGATGATAAAAAAAATAAAAAATATATATATATATATATGGATAAGCAGCTAACAGATGGTGCGTCGTAAAAATGTAAGAATAAGAAAAATAAATAAACAAAAAGTATTGTACTAAACCGATTAAAAAAACAAAAATAAAAGAAAATTTATCTTGATACCATATTAAAATATAAATAATGAGAGAATAAGTCCTTGAATATTAAACATTTAAAAGAATAAATATTATTTATTTTTTGAACTATATAAATCAAAAGTATATATATAACAAAACTAAGGACTAATTAACAAAAATAAATTATCAATTAACTAATGAAATATATTATTTTTTTAATTAACTATAGTTAATACACAATGGTTAGATGAAAATTATCCAACTCCACTCCTGGTTGTAACTAGAGTAGTTACTTACAAACGATTAAGACTTTTTACTTTCAACTTAAAATGATGTTTACCTTTTTTTAATAACTATTTACAATGAATAGTAATAATAGTTAGTTGTGAGTAGGAGTGAGCTGAACTTATCATGATTCTAACTATTCAACTATATTTATTTATTAATTTTTTACTTTACAAACTTGATATTAATAGTATGTATTTAGATCATTATAATTTAATTTACTACATTTATTAAATTTTATATTTTAAAAATTATATTTTTTAAAAATAATAATATTTTTAATAATATATATTTTTTACAATACAATTTTTATTTTCAACCTTAAATAATATTCATGTTGATAAAAAATAATTTTTATATTTGTTTTACTTTTAACATGTAAATTTCATTTAATATCAAATTTATAAAAAATATTAAAAATTTAAAATAAAAATTATAAATAAATTAATAAGTCAAGCTTAAATATTAAAATTATTAATTAAATTAAACTTAATATTTAAATGTAACTTGTTTAAATAAATGAGTTAAATATATATTTTTTAATAATGTACTTTAATATTCAACTCTACTTTTCTTATTTATACCTAAAATTATAAAGTATAAAATATTAAATTTTTAACACAAGATAAAAAGTTAGATGTAATAATTTTTTATTAAAAATATAATATTTAATAATATTAATATTTTTTATATAATTTTGATAAAAAATTATATAAAATTTTATATCTTGTGTGATATTATATATTAAAAAATTGACAAAATATTTATATTTAATTAAATGCTAACGCATTAACAAAATTAATATTGAAAATTATTTTGAGAACAAATTTTATTAATGTAATTTTATTTATAAAAAAATATATAAATATTAAAATTTATTAAAGGTTGAATTAAAATATTTTATTGAGTATATTAAGTTTGAATTTTGAATAAATTTAATAATATCATGTAATTTATATAATTAAATAAATAATATGGTGAGATAAGATTTAATTATTATTATTATTGTTTTACAAATAAATAAATAAATATTAAATTTATAATTACATGTTTTATATATTTTATTTAAAATTTCATATGTATGATTAATACATTAATTTTATACTATTAAAAGTTAAATTAGTTAAATTTAATATTTGTAAAAAAATATTAAATAAAAATAAGTTACGGATAGAATAATTTAATATCCGTTCCATTATTAATTTATATTATAATATAAAAATTGAATCCAGCCTATCAAAGTTTAATAATTAATATCATTTAGGAAGCTTACAAGAAGAAGTACTTTAACTTTAATTTTCAAAAGTTGTCACTAAAGCGGAAACCAGTGACATTGTCGGAAAAGCTCATGTGAGGAAAATCTTACTGAAAATTTAAAATTGGGTCAAAAAATGAGGAGGATGAGCAAGATAAAGAAAAGACGTCAATCAAAATAATGTAACTATAAAAAAACATAAACAAAAAGTTAACGAAATTAACATAATTAACAAAATAAACTTATTTGGTTCAAGTTGAAAGGTTAGATGAACAAAAAAAAAAAGGAAAGTAATAATTTTATCTATTTTTAATTTTTATGAAACTAAAAATAATATATTTTTTCATAAACACATACTAATAATTATTTTCTTGACGAACATAATTACATGTTTAATATCTCAGTTTAATTATTTTGAAATACTGCCAGCAGAAAAAGACGATTATTTTCTGGACGAACATAATTACATGTTTAATATCGCAGTTTAATTAAACAGATGGAAATTCTTGCGCCGTTGCTTGCTTCTTCACGTGGGGAAGGATATACTTTACTTTGCTCTGTTTCTTCTTTGTAATCTAGCAATGAAAAGACGGTTAGGGTTAATAATTCATGCCAAAATGGGTCCCTGATTCACCACATTGCCATATAAATAACGTCTCTGCACTTCAATACTCTTCTGTTCATGTCCATGGACATTGCTTAAAGCTGAAGTTGAATTTGGCGACCTTGATCGAAGCTTTGTTTGAACTTCGGGGAGATGATAACCTGTTTGAGCCTCTATCCTCTTGTTTCTGCCTCTTCAAGCATTAGCTGTACCACTCACGTAATTCACTACTTTCAACTTTTGACTTTGATTTATTGTTTCTTTTCGTTTCTCCTCTCTACAAATCTTATGCCGTTTTTGCGGCACTGATTATGATTTGATGCTAATCAGCATTTGGTTCCTTTTGAGAAAAACCTTAACCCTCGATTTATTACGGTTGTTTCTAGAATAACTAGCTCGAGAAATCACTAGCCAGACAGATCTATTATGTAGTGATCAGTGAGTGAATCGCTTATAGTGTAGTTCATTTTTTTTAATATTTATACTAGGACGTTCTGAACTGAATTATAATTACCAGAAACACTGGTCCTGTTTATCAAAATCCAATGTAACTGAAAACGTGTTCTTATTCAAAACTCTGGTGAGAGTAAGGTTAAACTCAAATATTGGTGCTCATAATTTAGATCTTTACTACCACCGGTTGCTTTTGCTCTTGGTCCATAATCTCTCTTTTAATGATTCTATTTGAACTGCAGTGATCTAGGCTATCAGCCTGTTGCTAGTTATGTGAATTGTTTTCATCGGCACTGCATTATAATTTTCCTTTTTTTGGTAGACCTTGAGAAATAAGCAGCATCTTGCAAAGCAAAAGTCAGTAGATCTAGCTCTTGGCTATCGGAATCCACATGGATACAATGGGTTCAGTTTCGGGTCAAGAAGATCAATACACAAGAGGGTATATTCTTTTTATCTACGTTTGATGTCTGTTGTTTAATACTTGAGTCAACATTTCTTGAGAAACTTCAATGCAAATATGCTGTCCTAACTGATATACAGTGTTGTTTGGAGGGCATGCATTTAAGATTGGTTTATGGCTTCTCTGTCGGAATTAATTTTCTTTTACAATATAGTTCAGTCTTCAGTGTATTTGGCTCTGGGGTGGGCAGTTCCTAAATGTGATCATGGAGCCCATTATCTTGTTTAGGTGAGTCATCTTCATTAAAGTTTAAGCATGAACTATATTCAAGGTAACAACTGGAAAATTCACTGTGTATCATAGTGTGTTAAACTTTGCTCATTTTTCTACTTGTATCTTCCCACTTAGTAATGAATGATCAAAATGAATTGATGAAAATAACATGAAACATTTTGGACTATAGTCTGTTAATTGCATATGCAAATGTGCTGCATGTGGATAAGTGGTTTCAGTGTGTTTTCCTCCAATCAGGTGCACTCTCATTTCAAGGGCATAGCTGTTATGACAGATGACAAGTCAACAATGTCATCCACTGAGGAAGATTTAGAAAACATTGGCATCTTGCACATTGATCCAGCCCTAGAGCCGTATAAAGATCACTTCAAATATAGACTCAAGAGATATGTGGATCAAAAAAAGCTTATTGAAGAACACGAAGGAGGTCTTGAGGAATTTGCACGAGGTGATTATGATTCTTGGCAATGTTTCACATCTTTATTTTCTTTTCTATAAATTTATACATACAATTAGATAACTGGTTAGATTTTGTGCATAAAGTACAAATTATATGTCCATGATTAAGTTGGGATCTTACTCAACTCATACTTAGTGGTGAGTGTCTGTTATGACTTATGAACCCTGGAGAGAGAATTGAGAATTTGATAAAAACAAAGGAAATGAACTATTTTATATTTCTCCTCAAAGGGTTTTCCCCTTTGCAAAGGGAAACCTCTTTCATAGCAAAGGGAAACCTCTTTCATACAAACTTTCGAATTATCTGCATGAATCCTTCCATCCTTTTTCTCCAAATTTATCTAATTGATATCCTCCTTAACAAACTAATTGCTTGAACAGTCCCTAACCACTTTTTCCTTCTGTCCTACCAGTGTCAGTGGTAGATAAGTCATAGTAAATTGTCTGGCATGCACAAGTAAACCTACACCAGTATAAATATGTTTGAACACAATCAATTAGTTATGTTGCAGATACCTCTTTTTTGTGTTGTACCCATGCCAGACACTTCACAGATAATTCAAATAATCCTAGTTACATTATATAATTTTATACTTTTTCTTTCAAGTTTTATACCAAAACAGATGGGAATATCAAAATCACTAGATAAACTACAGCATTGTATTATGTCTAAAGTGACTTATCTCACTTTTTTTAAAACATTGATTCTTTTTCGATTGAAGCCTTGTTTTTAACTGTAAAAGACAAACAATTTAAGTCTTGTGTTTTATGTTAATTTTTACTAATTTTATATGTTGTATTACAGACTCGGTCATTTCTTGTGCTTTTTTAAATTATTGTGTCCCCATGTCCATGTCATATCTTATCCATGCCTTGTGTCATATACCTGCTTCAACTGGATTGATTTCCAATAAATGCATCACTAATTTGTTAGATTTATTCTAGTGACATCTTTAAAGATTGTTTTCTTTTCTTTCCCTTTCTCTCTTAGGTTATTTGAAATTTGGATTTAACAGAGAAGAAGGTGGCATTGTGTACCGTGAGTGGGCACCTGCTGCTCAGTAAGTTATTTTGATGACATGGATTTGTCAACTTTGTTTGTCATCGTTTTATTTTGTTTTCTTTTCAGATTTTATATTTCTTTCCATGCAGGGAAGCACAAATTATTGGGGACTTTAATGAATGGGATGGTTCCAACCACTGGATGGAAAAAAATCAGTTTGGTGTTTGGAGTATTAGGATCCCTGATGTTGATGGAAATCCGGCTATACCTCACAATTCAAGAGTGAAGTTTAGATTCAAACACGGGGATGGAGTTTGGGTTGATCGCATCCCTGCTTGGATCAAATTTGCCACTGTTGATCCTGCCAAATTTGCGGCACCATATGATGGTGTCTACTGGGATCCACCACTTTCTGAGAGGTTTATATTCATCTGAAACATTGCACCTATTGAATATTAACTGAATTTAAAACAATGGGAATAATTTCTTATAATTTCGGACATTCAAAATTTTTTATATCTTTTAATTGAATTACAATTAATTGTAAAGTTTGGGTCAAAATGTGCACAACTATTTCAGTTGCATTATAAATGAATTCTCACAATATTAACTTTTGATGACGCGAAATATGATTTATTATAAAATGAATTTAATTTGTTTGTCAATGAATACTACCAAAATCCTATCAAATGTCATTATTTGAAATTGTCACTTCAAATCATGATTGGTGAATGAATGAATAATGATTTCAAATTTGTGTTATGAATATGATAAAAGTCCATGTACCAATGAAAGGAGGTCCAAGTATTTTATATTCCACAAAGATTGGCATGTTTTATTCCTTCTTTTTGTCTGGTCATTAGAATAACAAAAAAACTTGTTGTTTGGGGTTTAGTTTGCAAGAGAAAGAGGAAACTGTCGATTGGGTTGTATATTCAGTTGTAAAATGATCTTACCATTCTTTAATCTATTTGGTAATCTATGTTTTCCTCACACTTAACTCATGATTTAGTTCAGATAAGTTATGTCAATTGTTTGTTCACCCTCGTTTTGGTTCCCCAGGTATCAGTTTAAATATCCTCGTCCACCAAAGCCAAAGGCCCCCCGGATATACGAGGCTCATGTGGGAATGAGCAGCTCTGAACCCTGCATAAACTCTTACAGGGAATTTGCAGATGATATTTTGCCCCGTATTCGGGAAAATAACTATAATACAGTCCAGCTGATGGCTGTGATGGAGCATTCCTATTATGCATCATTTGGATATCATGTAACAAATTTTTTTGCTGTGAGCAGTAGATCTGGAACCCCTGAAGATCTTAAATATCTGATAGATAAGGCCCATAGCCTAGGGTTGCAGGTTTTGATGGATGTTGTCCACAGTCATGCTAGTAATAATGTTACCGATGGACTCAATGGCTTTGATGTTGGCCAAAGTTCACAAGACTCTTACTTCCATTCTGGAGATAGAGGCTATCATAAATTGTGGGATAGTAGACTCTTTAACTATGCTAACTGGGAGGTTCTTCGCTTCCTTTTATCAAATTTAAGGTGGTGGCTTGAGGAGTTTAAATTTGATGGATTCCGATTTGATGGAGTAACATCAATGCTGTATCATCACCATGGAATCAACATTACATTTACAGGGGATTATAATGAATATTTTAGTGAAGTAACAGATGTAGATGCTGTTGTCTATCTGATGATGGCTAATTGTCTGATCCATAGTATTTTGCCAGATGCAACTGTCATTGCAGAAGATGTTTCTGGCATGCCTGGACTTGGTCAAGCAGTCTCTGATGGTGGAGTTGGTTTTGACTATCGTCTAGCCATGGCTATCCCTGATAAGTGGATTGATCACTTGAAGAACAAGAATGACTATGACTGGTCAATGAAGGAAATCTCTTGGAGTTTGACAAATAGGAGATACACTGAGAAATGTGTTTCCTATGCTGAAAGTCATGACCAGGTATGAGCTTTGCTGCTGTATTTTTTATGTTACCTGTGATGAAAATACTACAAGAATTTAGGCTGAGTTAAATTTGTGAACAGAAAAATGATGGAAACTAGAGGGGGCAGATAATCAAGAGTTTTTCTTCATTTTTTTTTAATGGGAGCACTATTAGTGTTTTATAGTTTTTGCCTTGGGCAGGCCATTGTTGGGGACAAGACTATTGCATTTTTGCTAATGGATGAAGAAATGTATTCTGGCATGTCATGCTTGTCTGATGCTTCTCCAACTGTTGAGCGAGGGATTGCTCTTCACAAGGTTGTTTGTCTGATCATAAAGAGTGATGCACTACTTCATTCATATAGAAATTGGATTGCAAAGCTGCTAATGCAACACATAATTATTGTTGCTTTATAATTTCCTTGGAGTCATTGTTATTTAATCTTTGGCAGATGATACACTTTATAACCATGGCATTAGGTGGAGAGGGATACCTTAATTTCATGGGCAATGAGGTATGCATACAGTTCCATTCTTCTACCTGCAGAACTGCTACTCAATGCTGTTGATTGGTGCAACTGACCATTATGTTTCTATTGAGTAAAATGAAAATTATTTACAAGCATTCCACTCTCATTGCTATAGTCGTATATCATGCATTACCATTTATTAAGTTATATTCATGAGGCCATTTGTAGTTTGGCCATCCGGAGTGGATTGATTTCCCAAGAGAAGGCAATGGATGGAGTTATGAGAAGTGTAGGCGTCAATGGAATCTGGTGGATACAGATCACTTGAGATACAAGGTAGCGTGGTTATTTATATGCTTGTTTTGGTGGTATTTTTTCGTTAAGAGGTGGGGGTTATAGATCCCATATGTATTCACTTAAGGCATAACATCGACAACATCTCTTCTGTTGCTTCATTTCTCAGTTGACTTGGGTGATGTTATGCCTCTATAGATCAAGCTGTATTTTTTCAACATTGATCACATTTGAATCTGACTGTGTATAATAAACCAATTATTCAAATTATAAAACCTAATTCCTCGTTGAATTGGGTTTAAACAATTCAAGTAAATATGTATCTTACTACAAGAATTTTCTTGTTTACATTTTTTTCATACATGGGTTCAATATAGACAATACAAAATGGGGTAAACAGATGCATTTAATTTGGCTTCAAATTCTCATACTTTGGAAATTCATATATTAAAATTTGTTGTTAAGATTGGAATATCTCCATTTAGCTGTGTTAGGATTATATCCTAAGGCTTATGTGCAGTCATTTTCAGATCTTTTCTTTTTTCCCCTTCTGCAAAACTCTGTTTCTTCTCTTTTCTTCTAGCAGTTTGTTGCTTGTCTTTGAGAATATATGTTAGTTTTATGTCTGGAACTTGTGCAGTTCATGAATGCATTTGACAGAGCCATGAACTTGCTTGATGATAAATTTCCATTCCTTGCATCAACCAAACAGATCGTGAGCAGCACAGATGATGAAGACAAGGTGAATATGCTGCCAAATTATTGTACTATACTCATTCATAATCTGACGTTTTATGTCACTTGCCAGTCAATTAGGAGATTGTATTATATTAAGACTGATTAAAATAAAACTGCTTTGAAGAAATATTACATAGGTGTTGCGAACATAATGAAGGTGTTTCTCAAACTTGAGTTATTTGAGAAAATAAAACCATTAACAAGCCATTGTTTACTCCTAATTTCATGTGTAACTCATTGCTGTTATAATTAACTGCCTAATGCTTTCTTCTTTTATAGGTTATAGTCTTTGAGCGTGGAGATCTGATATTTGTGTTCAATTTTCATCCTGAGAACACATATGAAGGGTATGCAATTTGTGTTCAATTTTCATTTGTGTTTTAGGGTTTTTAACTTTGCCAGTTTGTGTATCTGGTATTATGTATGGTAAATTTTCTATAAATGTTAGTATAGTAGTAATTTTTAACCACAAATGATTTGGTTGAAACATTGAACATACAGGTATAAAGTTGGGTGTGACTTGCCTGGGAAATACAAAGTTGCACTCGATAGCGATGCCTGGGAATTTGGAGGACATGGAAGAGTAAGGAGCCTTAATCTCTCTGATGTTGGACATTAGTATAATCACGGAGAAACTATGTTCAGACCAAAGGGGCCCAGCCTGTCCTCCCTAACATTGTTTTGAAATTGCAACAGCTTCCCTTAAGTTATTATAATTTTTTGAAATAAATATAAATCACTAAATTTTGTTTTACCTTAAAATTTTGTATATGCTCGAGTCTAATGATTTATTATGTGCCAAATGGCACTTATGAGCAGCAGCAGTGAGATTGGGAAACAACTAGGGAAAAAAAATGGAACTACATGCAAAGAAATCATATAAACTTTTATGATTTTCCCCTGTAAGTGGTAGTGAAGAACAAAATGGCGGTGAGAAGTGAAGGGAAAAATGGAATGGGAGAGACAGTTGGTTCATGACTCTGATTTTTAGAGTTCAACCAAGTCGCTCTTATTCTATGGTTCATGAATCTGATTTTTTGAGTTCAACTCTGATTTTCTTCTTCAGCTAATGTTTTATCATCTTCCACTCCTAGGTGGGGCACGATGTAGACCACTTCACATCCCCAGAAGGCATCCCGGGAATTCCTGAAACAAATTTTAACAATCGCCCCAATTCCTTCAAGGTCCTCTCCCCTTCCCGCACTTGTGTGGTATGTTTATCTGGTGCATTACTTTATTTTATTATTAAATACATTTGTGCTGCAAAGTTAGCTTTCCATTTGATTTGTTCTTCCCTACAACAATGTGAATTGCTAATTTAATTTGAAATTTTCCAAAGGCATATTGTAGAGTGGAAGAAAGCCAAGAAGACAGTAATAAAAATTTGGTTGGGGTGACAGAGACTTCTGCTTCAGCAGATGTTGCGGATGAATTGACTTCTGTTGGAACTGAAGATAGCACTGTTGATGGGGTGAAAAAGACATCAGCTGCTGCAAAGGCTGATGTTGGAAAAACTTCCGATGAATTGGCTTCTTTACCATACATAAAACCAGATACACAAACTGGATAAAGTGGAAGAGATCACCGCTGCAGCAGATGTTCAAGACAAACCAGAAGATGCAGACAACTGAGAATCTTTTTCCTTTGTGAATACTAGTCTTTTACGTTGATATTGTCTGGGATTCAAGTAGATGTGGTAAGCAGGTAGGTTTTTGGATATTCCTGAAGGAAATTCGATGTAAATTTTGGTAACGTTTTGTCTGTCAATCCATCATGTATATTTCTACCGCTCGTGTGTGTAATATAACCTTTAATCATATCTTCATGTGAATTCCCTTACCTCTCCCTTTCCAAAAAAACAAAAAAAACGGAATTAAAAGTTCAAATGCACCCGGCTGTGAACCACTGCCCTTAGGCGCTGATGATAGTAGAATCCGAAAGAAAAATTATTCTTTCATTTGAGACAGCAGGGTAACCGAAATTTATCTTAGTAGGGCCTAAACAGCTCTCTATATTGGTAGCCCTGCGGGGAAATTTCAACAAAAAAAGGGAAAAAGCTTCAACGGTTCTTGGATCTGAAACTCCTTGTTTACAGTTATGATTTACGACTCAGAAATCGTCTTTAGTAAAATTCATATTTAATTAAAGTGATTCATTAATCCCAGTAAATAAAAAAAAATGTAATTTGCAAATTGTTAAATAAATATAATGATCAAATCAAATCCACCTGGCGAAAAATTTATCTATCAAGTAATAAATTTACATACTTCCGCATGTGGATTAAAAAGAAGACAATCTCAAATAAACCCCACCGGTTCATTCCATAGGTAAGTAAAATTATCAAATTATAATAAAAACAGAGAACAAGATTCAACCCAAACATGTAATTAAATCATGTTCTCAATAAAAAAAAGTAAAAAAAAATAAATCACTTTCTACCTTTTTCATATCCTTCCTACTCTTCTTGCTCCCACCTTCTTCTCCCCAGCCATGATAGATTTCTCAAACTTGGTAGCAAGAGGAGGTTTATTATTTTCCTTGGTCCTGCTTCTGAGCATGTACCTTGGAGTTTCACTCACCTCCGCAGAGTAAGCCGCAGAAACAGATTTCCTCAAACTTCCAAGTTTTCTTGAACTACCCTTCTTTCCCGATTCCATCGTAACCCCAAGAGCATGAACAGATTTACCCTTACTTTCATCCCCCACCGTCACTCCCTTCTTCCTCTTTAGCCTCTCGTTCCTTCTCGCAGAGTACTCTTCATAAAACCTCCCTCTCTCAAAGAGAGCACTAGGGTTCACCCCACAAGAATTGGCGCCGGCCAGATCCTCTGAATCAGCGTTGCCAAACTCGTCGCGAACCATCTTCGCCAGAGCCCGTAACTCCCACGAAATCGTGCGGTATTCGGGTCGCATATCCGGGGAGCGAATTGGTTTTTGAGATTTTGTCAAAGAACCTGCATCAAAGAAAAGGATAAATAGAAAGAAAGAGAAAAAATTGAAGCACAGAAGAAGAAGAAGAAGAAGAAGAAGAAGAACCTGGTGGAGTTTGAAGAGAGGTAGTGTTTGAGGAATGAAAAGAGTGACGCGGTCGAAGACGCATTGGCGATCTAGGAAGTGGAGGCTTGCAAATGGATTTCATGGTTGATGCTGCTGCGTAGTACATGATTATTGACTGAGACAAAGATGCAAATGTAGTATGACACAACAATGGCAAGTGCAAATGATGTCTGTCTTTTACTCACTGTGGCCTTTTAATTTTATTGGAAGAAGAGAATGAGTTTGAATCAGGAAGCGGAGCGTCTATAACGGTCATATTTTAGATCGGACGGGTCACAGTTGGTGATTTGAAACGGTGGATTGGGCCTCATTATGAAACCAGATTCTTTCTTTCTTTCTTTTCAGTTACGGCTTTGTTTTTATTTTATTGTTTTCTTTTTGACAAATGCGTAGGCCCTTTTCTTTTATTTGGTTCACTTCATGGTTTTCATTGATGGTAAATAATAGACACCATAACCACTCCATTTAAATACAAATATATGGGGTAGTTTTATTTGGTTTTGTTGTCTAGTGTTTGATGCTTCTGCTGACCGTAATCTTTTGTATTTATTTTATTAATTTTGTGCTTGAAACCTTGTTTGACTTTTGTACACTGTGGAAGAACAATTTAATGTGTTTCTAGAGAGGAATTAAAATGGTTTGATTAGAAATGATTTGTTTGGATATTCACTCCAAAATTAATTTAAAATTAATGAGTATTTCGAGCAAATTATGAAATTTTCAAATTAAATAAGATTTATAAACATAATTTCAACATTAAAAAATTGGTCTGTAAAGAATTTATGTAAAAAATATATTGAAATACAAGATACTTAACAATTTAAAAAATTAAATTGTTTTAAAAGGTTAAGTTTATAAATTGAAAATTAAGAACAGACTACATAACTATTTAGAGAATAGATAAAAAGATTAAGTCACTCCAATAAATATATATATAATTGATATAAATTGTTTTTTAAAATAGATAATTCACGAGTGTAATTGATTAGATGTAGAAAAAAAAAATATTGAAAATTTAAAAATATATGTTGTTAAATATTTAGAAAAATGAATTATTAAAGAAAGAAGTTAAAATAGTCAAGTCAAATATTCTTTTACAACATAAAAAGAAAATATATTATTTAATAGTGGAATTATATGTTATAAGAAAATATCTTAATATGACAATAAAAACTTAATTTGTTGAATCATAATAAAAGCTTTATTTTGATATGTAAAAAAATCATGTTAAAATAATTGATCAATGCAAATAAGATTTAAAGATAATAAACCCAATTTTTTGTTCACCCTTAACATTTACATTTCTCATATTAATGGCTCCTCCAAAGTTAAGTAGATGGTAGTACCTTGAAAAACTCAGGAAAATATAGATTTGACATTCAGGTTCTTTAGGTTTATGTAGAATATCTACTTGTTTATATGAGGTGATTCTAATATCCTTCCTTCTTTTGTAAGAAATAAAATAAAAATGTCTTTTTTAAAAGTTTTCAAACATTGTAAATCGTTGATCAAAATTTGATGGTTAAAAATAAAAGATAAGAAATTGGTGATACAAGTTACATTTAGAAATGATATATTAGTAATTTTGATGCCCATTCATTCGGTTCCTCTTCTTTGTCTTCTCCCTTTTCATCTTTTCCCTTTTCTTCTTCAACATTAATAACATAGCTCAGACTCAGGAAAAATATGAAAAAACACTAAAAATAAACTGGAAGCATAAATTAATATTCTGGAGGTGCGTCAACAAGTTCTTATCATTAGTCATGTTTTGTAATAAAAGGACACATATGTTAAATCATAGTAAATATAGATTTACCAAAAATTCTTATTGAATATGTTTATATTCTCTTCCTATCCTTGAAATACTACACACTTTGCTTAAGAAAATCAAGATTTGGTTAGAAATTTGCATCAAAAATTGCATCAAACTCATAGTCTTTCACAAAGTCATAGCTAGCAGATTTGAGATTCTCATCTTTATATTTTGGATTATGTTGATTCCCTTTTGACTTCATTTTGTGACCTAATTAACCATTGTCCCCTCTCTATGACGTATGATAAAGTATATAGTAACACCATCTCTTCCCACGCCTTCAAATGTGCCCCTTTACGTTGCTTTTTTCTACATTAGTTATCTAAGAAAATTCACATAGTTGTATATATATATACTTTCTACATTAATTCTCTAAAAAAATTGATGTAGAAAATTATTTGGTTTAAGTCGCTACTTTTACATTAGTTATCTGAGAGAATCCATTTAGAAGTTACGTTTTTTTCTTTTCTTTTTAATAAGTTACTTATGGATGAGCTCTTTCTCAACTTGCAATGTTGACGCATGTGTGTTCTACATCATTTAACTAGTTCGCTGATGTCATTGTCTCACAATCATATATTATATTATTTTGTGTGAAAGAACCGATTTGCTATGTACATGAATCTTGTATTCAATTCAAATCATATCAGTTCTAATTTATTATTCTTAATTTTTATTTGATATGACGAAAATAAAACTATAATCCATTGTACTATTATTGATATATTATATTTAAAATTTTGAATTTGATAAAATTAATATAAAATTATATCTGTATATATTTGATTTAAAAAAATTATATTATATAATTATTTTACATTCATATTATATTAAAATGAAATTGATATTTTTTTACTTTGTATTATTTATTCATTACACACTAGAATTCACCATTATGCCCAATCAGTCTGGGACGCATTGGCTTTTGTGTAGGTCACTAACTTAAAAATAATGAAATATAGATAGTTTCTATAATTGTTCATTACTTAAGAGATGTTAAATTGTGGTCACTGTGTAACAAATGTCTGGCAGACTTTTGCATTGGTTGTGTGATAAAACCAATGTCATTAGGCGACCATCTTTTACATTTGCGCGTGGACTTTATTTGCATTGGTTGTGTGGCAAAACTGATGTCATTAGGCAACCACTTTCTACATTTATCGCATGGACTCTTTTTGCATAGGTTGTGTGGTAAAACCGATGTCATTAGGCGATCATCTTTTAGATATTGCTCATGCATTCTACTTGCATCAGTTGTATGCTAAAACTATTTAGTGGCTTCCCCTCTTATCCCTTACCCTACTCTTTCATTTCTGCTGCAGCTTTCCCTGTTGTTTGTGGGATTAATTGATTGGATACCCAAGAACCATAATCTTGACTAGGAACAGCTTCTATGACGATAGGTGTAAAGGCATGATTAGTTCCACAAATCTCACTGCACTAACCATAATAAATCCCTTCTCATTGTACCAAAATAGAGATATGATTTAACGACTAGGTACAACATCACAAATGACATCTAAGGAAGGTACAGTCTAACTATGAGGTACATCAACAGGTGTTATAATAACACGCAGATGAGTTTTGGCTGGTACAACCACTCTATTATCCACTTCTAATAAATGTGATTGACCCAATTCTAGATCATCTTCTGGAATCGTATAACTATTAAAAGTGAGTGACTGTTCATCAGAACTGTTATAGTCTAAATACTCATAAGTCCGATACCATTGATGTCCAATAGCTTTGATAGTAATGGCCGGATCTACTACTACTTCGTCCATTGAGTATAACAGAACAAATGATGGTCATGTCCGCTCACGATAACCTTTTTCATATTGCGCATAAACTGTATTTAGATTGATTGGGTACTAAGGTAATGTCTCTTCTTTACAATTGTCTCGTATTAACCATATCTACATCAGATGTATGAGACGTATAATGTTAATGCAATTTTATGTACACAACTTGTTAAATTTACGTTATTAACCCTCTTCATTCCGCTCACTAATAACTCCTATTCACATTTATTAACTTTTTCAATATTTAATCTTAGTCATCTAATTTTAATCTGTCACGATCAACAACTCAGTTTTAATTATTAATCACTTATGCAAAAGTTATGCTTTAAAAAAATATTTTTTTTTTTAAAAGGAAGGATATTAGAACCGGCCTTTTATATGCTAAACTTCAAGCTATTTTCATAGTTTCACTTCAGCTTGGAATCTCGGTACTAAGAGAGTGGTTTGAAAATCTGATTCTGCTACCGTTTTTCGCTTTTCTTTTTCCCGGTAAATCAAGATGCTCTTTAATTTCATCCTTATGAAACTATAATTGAGAAGTTCAAAACCTTCTCCTCCAAGGATTGGGACTTGACTTTTACCCATACTTTGCAGGAAGGTTACTTTTGTGCAGAATGGTTGGTTAAGTATGATGCTCCATTAGACGTTCTATTCGTTTAATAGAAAACTTATTATCCTTAACTGAGCTCTTTAGTTCTAAGAAAAGTTGGTGATGTAGTTCATTTTAGAATTTAGTATTTTTTTTTGTCTATTTTTGTTTACACTTAAAAAATATTAATTAAGACCACGTATATATAATTGACACAGACACAAAATAAAAATAGACACAATTCAAGTTATAAAAATATTTTACTCACTAAAAAAAGTTGAATGTAGTATATAAAAAGCTGTATCTCTGAAATATGTTAATTGAAGTTTGATTTCATATTCTATAAATGAAATTTTTGTTAAAATGTACAAAATCTACTTTGCTTATTTTTACACCTTGAAAAAATAATATCTAGCTGTTAATTGAATGATACGTTTAGTATAAAAAAAATGCTCTAGTCTACGACCAAAATATTTTTAAAGATCTCATTGAGATTAGATTATTTGATTGAAGATGTCTGTCACACAATTTTTATAAGAATAATTTTTTTATTATATTATATTTACTTTTAATTTGATATTTTTTTAGTTTGTGCTATAATTTCAACAAATGAACAACGTTATAATTTCAAGCAATAGGTAGAACTTAAAAATTGAATTATCTAACTCATTTAAATTAATTTCTTGCCATCAGCGAAGTTTAGCGAATTAAGCTAAAAAAAGTAGATATAATGCATACTTATAAAAATGATATTTAAAAGTAATAATTATTTTTAATTATAATGGACATATTTCACATCAAATTTATCGTATCAGATTTTAAATATTTAAATTTGATTCTGACATAAAATTTAAAAATCAAATTTTATATTTATGGTACAAGTTTGAATCTCTCAAATTAAATAAACTCATTTTATCTATTCTAAGAACGAGAGATATGTTAAAAATTGTGCATACAAGAGTTAATTTAATTTTTTCTGTATAAAC